CACTTTTGTCCAAAAACTAGGACCTTGATTCTTATCACCTGTCTCTTATGTGCAGGTTTTGATCATGATGAATGCTTTGGGGTTTACAAGAGCAGTCTGGCTAAAGTACTCACAGCAACCAGTGTCCCCCATCTGGGATTTAAAAACAAACTTCTGGCCAAGAGTCGAGAGCCCTACCAGCTTCTCCACACTGCTGTTTTAGTTATAGTCTTCTAAATCTGTGTTGCATGTAAATGTAAAATAAACTTAAAAAAATTATATTTGTTTAGTAGGAAGCATAGAAGTTGTGGAGTTGATCAATAGTGCTTTAAAAAGCAGAATGAGTTTAAGATTAGAGTTTAAGTATTGAGCTCATGCATCAAAGATTTAATTTGTTTTCTTTGATTTTTCTTAATTTCAGACAACCAGATGGTCAGCCTTGCTTGTTGGGATAATCTATGGAAAGATGAGATATGGTAGGTTTCTAGAGGAACCTGGGTCAGGATAAAACTATGCAATTTAAGTGTATTACAAACTCAGAAACTCCTGGTTTTGGATTTAAGACATTTGGCTGAGCATTAGCAATTGTTACTGTTTGCCCCTTACTAGGTTATCAGCTCAAGAGGGTGTTGGCAGTGCTGTACACAAATGTTCTACTTGGATATTATTACTTCAAAATTTGCTTTAAAATAAAGTGTTAATTCATTAAGTAGATGCTAATAGGCTAATTGGTAGTGTTTGTAGACATTCACATTTTCACAAAGCTTTTTTGGATATATTAGATCTCGGTCTCAGCCCAAGTGTGTAGAATTTGAATAGGCCTTCTAAGAATTAATGGAATTGACTTCACTGGCTTTTTGTCATGTTTTAGACTACCTGAAGCCCATTGCAGAGGAAGAGAGGAGGATTGAGGCAGAGGAGAAAAAGGCTAGGGAAGAGGCTGAGCGCATTGCAAAACAGCTGGCAGAAGGTAACTTTCTTTTTTCTCTCTTCACACCAGAGCGCTACACCTTCTGGTCTCCTGGTTTATAAGTTTAACTTCTATCTCACTCACTGGTCTCTTACCCCAGGGATTACCAAACCTGGTCCTGGTGACCCACCCACCTGCTGTTTTTTATTGTAGCTGAGTGCTTTACTTAAATGAATCCTTAATTAAACCCACAAGTTGTATGATTAGAAGCTTTGCAAGTTTTTTTTAATTCAAAGATTGAAGATTTTAAGAATTTCTCTTTTTTGTGTTAGTAAACAATGAAGTCAATTGGCCACCTGTGAAAATGTGTTAAGGAGTGTATCATCACTGCAAGAAACCTTACAGTTTGCTCAACCTTAAAGCTATAGCATTATGGTTTATCACACTGTGCCCTCATAACTTAAATGTTTTTCTTTTAACAGCCAATGAAGACACCATACTGAAATGAATCATAACTGGGAAATATTCCTTTTTTTGTGAATAAAGAAAATGGACCTGTGCATCTGGATTGTGTGGCTTATTTGGATTTCGTAAACGTTCTTTATTTGTAAAGTAAGATTTAAAAATAAACCATGTCAACCATGTCTGTTTTGCCATTTAATCTATAAACCCTGAAAAATCTTCATGGACTTCTGTTCTGATGCTTTTCATTTCTGTTGTGGAATTTTCTGCTCTTTATGAAAGGGATGTGTGTATTACATGTGTGGAGAAGAACAAACATTTTTATAGGCATTCCCTGTTTCCTAAGGTTTTCCTTTGATTTCTTTCATCATATTCAGTAGATGGACTCATGGGGGAAAAAAAGTACACTGTATTGTAATTCAGTAAAGACTAGAGCTTTCTCTCTTAGCATTAATATGCTTGAAAAGCTCTTTATAAATTTATATCAGTAATATTAGCAAGTTACTTTGATGTCATGAACATGTAGTGAATTTTTAATCATTATTTTTTACAGGGCCTTGATTTAAGCTCGATGCTTCCAATAGCAACAGGAGACACTGATATACTGTACAAGGCATGCTTAATCTGGGGAAAAGTGCACCACCTGCTGGACCCTTGCAGTGGCAGCCTTGTTTTCTTTAGGTTTCCTTTCCTAATATTGATCAGGTCCAGCATTTTCTCTGATCTTATTTGATGTCTGATAAAATCAGGCTACACAGTGGTAAATGCTGTGGAATTAAAATTAAATTTGATCTTGTTTTCTGAATGCTATTGTAATTGATTAATTGCAGCCATAAGCCATTTCAAAATGTGTTTAATATTTTGGGGGCAAATCTTGCACTGCAGTGTAACTTTTGAAAGCTCTGTGACTTTGGGGGCAGTATTTTAAAATTTACACTGCAAAAGGTGTTATCTGCCCTTCAGCTTTGGAGAGTGCAGAGATTAATACAGAAGGAAACATAATCCTCTGGTGGTTTATGATAAATCCTGGGATTTAGGTCACAAGCCAATATAAGAAAGTGCTGAGTTAACAGTGGTGCCTTCATCATCGGGTCCACTTGAGAAGGATTGTGAATACTGAAGGCCTCCAGGTTATAATATGTGGGAGGAAATATGATCTGAAACTATTTTAGACAGAAAACTGATCTTTTTTTTATTGAGTTGCTGGAGATATATTTGGAGAGACCAACATTTAATTGAGTTAGTATACATCAAACAAAGTTAATTGGAAAGGGTTAACTTGATATTTTAGGAGTTTGAACTTCACTACAATAACAACAAGAGCCATTGTGTAACTGTATTCTATCTGAAATGTTACTAGAGCAAAAAACACAATGTTCTTCCACAGTTTCAGCATCCATTTTCTTCAAGAATATATGACAACATTAGCGAAGATATAAATCAGCCTAACCTAATGGTCAAACCTCACTTAAGTCTTCCAAGGGGATTTATTATAGAAAATGGCAAATGCACTGTAAAGTGTAACATTGTTGTTTCCAAACAAGAAATAAAAGTACTGACGGTGACATACATTAGATCAAGGGTAGCTTGAATTAATAGTGACAGGAAAAAGGGATGTAAAGGAATATAATGAAGAAAATAGAGGTTTGTGTCCAAAGGTTTTATCCAGAAATAGGACCTCTGGAGCAAATGAAAGTCACTCAGCATAAATGTATCATTTTCTGTGAAACCCATAACTATGAAAATAAAGAGCCAAAAAACATGCTATTTTTGAATTAACACCTTTGTGATCACTTAATGTTTTATTGGCTCGTACAGTTTTAAAGAAAGCTCTGGAGCGCAGCAGGCATTTGTGATATATTTAAATATCCTGATCAGTAGGGGTGTCATGGTTTAAATGCAGCATAGGGAAGGCTCCACTGATTTAGCGTTCAGGCTTATTCTAAATGACGCTGCGAGAGTGCTAAATACCTGGATTCCTGGGGATAATGAAATAAAATTAGACCGTGGTTTTCCAAATCGACCTTGGCAGATTAAATATGAACACAATTAGCAACAGATGCTTGGAAAGTGCTGATTGTTTCTGCCGGATAAGAAGATTTATGAGCTGGTGAATCACCAGTTTCAAACTCTCAGGGCAGGCAATGTGCCTTCAGCAACAAATGAATGTTGTACTGTATGCCATTTACAAACACTCAGCTTTGTCCCTCTCATAGACATATACCTCATGAATTTGAAGGCTTTGTCGAGATGCCCAATTAAGAACCCACACTACTTAAAATTAGTTAGTTAATGATCGGTGTGTGCATTGTTAGGTACAAGGACATCAGTGCCAATAAAGATGAGGAACAGTTTTTTTTCAGCTTTTGAAAGAAGTGGGCTAACATGATTAGATGTGATCTTAGATTTACATAAAAACTGACCCTCCACATTCCACATTAATGACCTCTCGTTTACTGTATAAATACACTTTCATATAATGTGAAATTTGTGTGATAAACAAACAGCCAAAAACACTAACAACATGTGATAAATTATATACATTTTTTATTTTTATTATTCCCCTGCAAAATAAGTTCAGCTTTGCAAGACCCATGTGGTTAGCTTAGGATGCCTAATTATTCATATATGAAATCATTGTTTATGGTCTTTGAAGGTGTTACAAGCTCAATGACACTTTAAAATGTTATATTTCAGTAATAAAACAATATGGTGAGCTGAAATGTTGCTTAGTTACATTCAGAGCACATTGTGATTCTAAACCTGCAGGACCAAATGCTGCAATTCCAGGATAAAGAGACATGTTCTGAAAGATGTTTAGGCCCATCCTTCAGTGACACCTGTTTCACACAATAAGAGAAACATCATCTCATGAAAGAGAAGCAAAGTCTTATTTGCTATACAGATTTCAAACTGCAATTGCTGAAGTGTGTCTGCCTTTTGAATGGAATGAGCAAGTTTTATTTTCCTGTACTCTGTAATAGTATATTCTACAGATACTTTATACAGTAGACCTACTATATATTTACACTTCCAATATATTTACAATATATCTACAAACAGTGGCCCACAATGTAATGTACTTCAAAGTTGCATACAAGAAATGTATTCTGTAAACATATTTTATATGGATATAAATGGAATATGACCTCTCACTCATTCTAATCCATCTTTTCAAGAAAGCAGAATTACAAGCAATGTAATTTTGTAACTTCATATGTAATATTATGGTTCTAACAATACACTTCCCATATAAAATGAAAAACAATCCACTATTGTTTTGTGTGTAAAATGGTTAATTACCATGGCAATAAGCATTAGATGTTCTCTGTGAGTTCCACAAGCACTTACATAGGTATTCTTACAAGAGACAGAAAAAACTAAATTCTATCCATATTTCAAACTTTTTGCTCTTGTCTCTTTAAAACCAACAGAAATTGGGTGGGGTTTCAAATTTTGAAAGGTGTGCTACACTAACAGGCACCTATCTAGCATATATACAAATACGTGTATCATACACATAGCTTCCTTCACAAAATGATGTTTCTGTGTTGTGCATGGAATAACAGATCTTGAGGATGTATGAGCATATTACTGAAGGTCTGATCCAAAATGCACTGTACTTATGTTCTACTGTCCTATTCAGTCTCTTACAGCAAAGAAAAGCCTGTTGATTTTCTGAAGAAGAAAAAACATGCTGACTGTTTCATACACAAATACACACATACACATATTTACAGTGGACATGCACATGCAATAGAGAAGAAAAGCAACTTTTGTATTCTCATACTTTTGCAGCTACAAAAATGTAGCAAAATAAGCTAAATAAAATTTGCAAATAAACACTTTTTCATCACCTCACCGTATACATCCATATATACTTTGGATAAGATATGTACTTCAACAGCTTGGTACAGAACCAACCTTGGGTTGGAGTGAAAGTACTGTTAACAAAAGACAAGTAATCGTGAGAGCTTGGAGGGTGATCAGAAACATTCCTGAATTGTCTTACTTATCTTGCTAATAGGAATACTCCACACTGAAATCCTTTTAGTAAATATCAATATAATTTTAAGAACTAAACACTAGGATAATTACTGTAGCATTGTTATTTTTTTCCAAAAAGTAATTCACCTAATGTAAATTGTTTTTGACTGGAAGTAAACAGGCCAAAAAAAGCCTGTTTTGGGAATAATTAGGTTATTTTCAAGCAATGCCTAAAGTAGAAGCTTACAATTGCCATGATTCAGATCAGAAACATCAAAGCCCTGTACTTTCAGACCTGGAGAGGGAATTAAAAATATATCCTTCATACTACTATATTTTTTGATAGGAGATTATATTTACTTTTTATCCATCCTAGTTTAGAGAATAAGATAGTTGAGTCTAATGTGCTTCTTAAAATTAGTTGGATATGTTGTTAATGTAGCATCACTCGTTAAGGGTAGACATTCTGTAAATTTTCCTTCTTAGAACCTGTGCAAATACATTTTAAATAGAAAAATAGACTCATATTCAGCACCCATTTGGAACCAAGAGATTGCTAGAGTATCACAAACACTGTAAAACCTTCCAGACATACCTCAGAAGTCTAAAAAAGGTCAATAATCTGTCATCAGATAAGGTATAAACATCCATTAGGAATAATGTAATTGGAAAAGATGCTTTTAATAATCATATTTTATAAATATTTTCATGTTCCAATTTTACTTGGGGGTTGGTACTCTTTAAATTACCAGTACATGGATATTCTGTAATAAAAATAATACAATTGTGTTTTGTGCTTTGACAAAACTGAATTTTAGTAAATGGTTCTGGTGAGGCAGAAAGAAAACAACACTCTGAGATCTCTGCCACCACACAGTCCACATGCATTGAGCTGGATTTATCGGAGATCTTAATTTTGAATAAGGAGATATATTATTAATGAATACCAATTTTCTTTACTATAAAAACAAAGAGGCAGGTACAGCACATGATATCAAAAAAATGAAAATTGATCAGTTACCTGTATTGCTTTTTTTTTTTTGTTTCAGCAGGCAAGATATAGAAGGAAAAGTATGACAAGACACATACAGTAATCAATGCTATTTTGGTAAGTGAAAGAGAATGGGGACCTTTGTCCAGGTCTGAAACATTGGCCAGCACCAAACACAGAAGTGCAGTTCAGAGCTCCTATGTTGGCCTTCCAGTGAAAAAGTCCCTCTCTTTGTGTTCATGATCTTTCTGTTAGAATGGTCTCCCCCTTTTTTGCAGTCCTGAGTGAGAGGCTAAGAAGCACTCTGGAAGTCCAGCAGTCCTTTGAGACACAAGGCTTAACTAACGGAGCATGTCTTAGACTGTGAACCTCCGCTAGGGTTTGCACTGGCCGCTACAGAACAAAAAAAAGAGAAGAACAGCAATAAAATACAGGTGTCACCAAATCAATTTCCAAAGTGTGGTGATCTTGATGCCAGTCAAAATAATTCTGACTTATGCAGGTGATTGGTGAATATACAGTAACAAGCTTTCCTCAGTACTTTCAGTCACCTGCATGGGTAAGGCAGGAGTCAGTAATGCAATCTGGTTTCTGTAACACAGTCATTCTGTAACATACCTACACTGTTGTTAATGTTAAACGCATAAGAACACCACATTTTAAATCTGTTATTTAGTATGTGACCGAATGTCTACCATATCCTGATTATCTGTCATGAATTCTCTGTATCACTGTATCTGTATTAGGCCAGCAGCCATATTACTCTGCAACTCACAACTGATAACCCACTGAACCTAAGCAGGTGTGAGCCTGGTCAGTACCTGGATGGGAGACCTCCTGGGAAAAACTAAGGCTGCTGCTGGAAGGGTTGTTAGTGGGGCCAGCAGGGGGCGCTCACCCTGCGGTCCATGTGGGTCCTAATGCCCCAGTATAGTGACGGGGATACTATACTGTAAACAGGTGCCGTCCTTCGGATGAGGTT